TGGTGTGAAATCTGCCCTGCAAGCAGAGAGGAGGTATGGGAATGGAGACCCAAAGGAGTGGACGTGTCACACCTGTAACTACTGCACCGTGATGCTGTGAGCCAAATGGGTCCCTTTGCTTCTGTGCTCACCAGCAAGGAGGAGCAGATCAGGCTCAAGAAGAGATGAGGAGGAGGTAGAGAAAGTGCGTAGAGAAGCTGCAAGAGTGACCTGATCTTGGGCAAGAAAGGTTGCTTTGCAAGGGAAACACTCTTTGTCTACTGTGTTTGCTGAAGATTTTAGGCAAAAAATGTGTCTTCACATGGAGAAGGTCTGTGATGGCAGAGGCTGACCCAGCTCAGCAACAGAAAGCACAGTGCCTTTCTGCAGACAGAATCTTATGCAGGAAAATAATTCAGACTGGAAATATGATAAAAAATACTAGCAATGAAGATAAGTGACCTTCAGAAGAACTTACCAGGAGGCCCCACTGGTCTCCTTCCCAGGAAAATTCAAAGCCAGGATGTTTAGAAAGAATTGGCTCCAATAAAAGCACCAACAAAGCAGTCAGTATGAAGTGAGATGTGCTTTACAGAGAGCAGGTTGGAGGGCTACAACTCTCTTCCTAGATTTAAAAATTTCTGGCTGTTATTCTTTAGGAATGTGCCTTCCAATGCCCCAATATGGGAGTACCAGGAGAATGGACAGCAGGTGGTGGCCCCTGCCTACGAGCTGACTCAAAACACCATCTCCTTTAATTCACTGCTGGGGACAAGGTGCTGGGCTGGAGGGACCATTGCCTTAAGTTTGTGGGACATTTCTTGTATTCTTGCTTAAGTCTGGTTGATAAAAGAGGAAAATGTTAACAAACAGTGCAAACACCTGTCCTCAAAACTTACCGTGAGACCCAGGAGAGCAGATGAAGCTTCATACATTAAGTTTGCATCCAAAGAATGTTGAAAACTGTTCGATGTCCCAACCAGGTCAGGGGAAATGCATCTTCAGCATGCCTCATTCTGCCTAAGACTAGAAAAGGAGCCGGGCTGATACACTCAGATGTAGACTGGAGCGGTGCCTAGTTGGCATGGATCCTGCTCCTCCAGCCCCTAGCCAGGCAGAAAATGGACTCACACCTTGGCTAGAAGGTGGCAGGGGCCTGTTTAAATAGCCAACTAGCATCCCTAGAAGGCAGAGCTGAGGGTGCAGAAGTGGTCCTTCCCTGCCCCAGGGCACAGGGAAACATAAGCAGCAGAGCCAGAGTATGTCCCATGTCAGCCAGCACTGCCAGGAATCCTACTGGCAGCCAGCAATGGGGCTGTGCAAGCAGGCTGGTGAGCTGCCTAAATGGATACTAATGAGGCCCTGAACAGACTCTGCCTCTCCCCTCCCTGGGATAAAAACTAGTGCCAGTGTTTTCCAAGGCAGGCTAGATTTCTCCTGTGGCTGTTGGTAATGGCCTGGTGCCGTTGTGTGGGAGTCATCCCATGGATGTCAGGGAGAGGCACACTCATCCAGGTCTATACACAGAGGGATGAGAAGGGACTTAGATTCACTGTGGTGTCTGGTGGGGCAGGAAAGGACAGAGAGCAGCATGTAGGAAGTTCACCCTCGAAACTGCCCAGTCAGAAAGATTAAGAAATCCCATTGAAACCCAAGCCCTGCAGTGGAACACTGAGTTTGGACTGAGCGATGCATCGCCCAGGCTGTCATCCTGCCCAGTTACACAGTGTCCAGACACCCACAGTTTCCCACAAGCGTTTCCCTTTCACCTCCACAGGTCGGACTAAAAGCAAAGTGGGCAAACCGGAAAGCTAGCGCTGCTGTGGCCAGTTTTTATGTCTAGCTGATCTTACTGTCATGCTAACCTGACACAGCTGCACCAGCAGCTGAGCTGTTAGAGCATTATAATCCCATGCATGTTACCGTGATGTTACTAGAGTTGCTAATCTGACAAAATCTGGATCCAAATGAAGATTTAGCCTACTGCCTTTTGCCACATCACACTCACATGTTAAAGAATTACATCTTCGAAATAATGGCTACAGTCACCAGAAGTTTGCAACCAGCAGTTAAATAGGATTCATTAAGTGCCCCTTGCTTGTTCTTCCTCTCTCTGGCTGCATCCATGCAGCCATCAAGGACCCCCTCCATGATTTGAAACCAGGTAGGGCAGCAGATCTTGCATCCCCAAGCCTGGATGAGACCACCATGAGCTCAAATTGGTAGAGTTAAGCTGGTTGCGAGCTCCTGTGTGCAAAAGAAGAAGAAAGACCTGGATCCACATCTGCACACCAGACTGTGCTGCTGAGCTTTTGCTTGTAAGCAAAGCTGCATGTACAGACATCTTCCGTGGCTCAGCAGATGTAGGGTGCCTTCTCAAGCCGGTGCCAAGTTGTGTGCTGAAGTGCATTAAGTGGGTGCTGTCTGTAGGTCTCGGTACACAAAGAACATGGGCAATAAAAAATTTCACAAAAGCATTACCATGAACATGAACTCATGCTCTGAGCAGGAGTTAACCTTCAGATGCTCTGAGCACTTGTTTTTGTCCTTTTACACAAATATTGCTGGTGGGGAGATGCTCCTCAGAAGGTCATGTGTAGAAGCCAGATGGGCACAGATGTATTTGGGGATTTGGGCACTGCAACGGTCTTTCATCCACCCTTGAAGGTGGTCTTTTCTTTGCAAGAATGACAAACCTTTTGTATCCCAGCCCAGTGACAAGGATGTGTGTTTAGGTTGAAGAAGTCCCCCTGCACCTGTGGGATCAGGGACAGCTCTCCTGGCCACTTAGGAAGGCAGCCAGCTCTTGGGGGGTTGGACCTCAGCAGTGCCAGAGCCCCAAGGCTGGCTGTACAGTAGGGATACGTGGTGCTCTCTCTCCTGTCCATGGATGCAGTCATTCCCCCAGGCATTCAGTTGAGTCAATCAGTCAAACAGAAAAAATCCCAGGGGATTTAGGTGGCGATAACCAATATAAATAACAGGAAACTTTTGCTCATTTAAGACTTCGAAGGCAGAATGCTTGCACTGATAATTTGCAGATGGAAATTTGCTGGTGTTTGTGCAGCTACCAACTACAAATCAGGAAGAAATAAATAATAAATAGCTGGATGCTCACAGTTACTTTGGGAACGGAGAAAAGTACACATTTAAGCAAATCAATGCACTCGTCCTCAAGTCTGTCTGAAAATACTCTCAAAGAGTCTCTCAGTGCTGCAAAAATTATCTCCTGTTCTCATTTACAAGCGAATGTTAAGAACTGCGAGATTCATATTCCTCCTGTCTTTATTGTTTTGGCGGGGGTTGTGTCGTCAGCTGTTCCAACATACACCATATCCCACTTATTTATCTACTCAGGCCTTTTTCTTTTTTTTTTTTTTTTTTTTTTTTACACACAGGCTCTGCAGTCTGGCAGAGCCACCATTGCATGCAGTATTGATTTAGGAAGAGGCAGTTGTGACAATCCAGTCCCAGGCTGCAGCCTGCGCTGTACGGCGGCAGCTCCTTCTGGAGCACAAGCCTCACTCCCAGCCCCGGGCTCATGTTTAAAAAGAAGCCAAAAAAAAAAAAAAAGCTACTTTTATCTGTTCTGCTTTGAAGGGAAAAAGGATTACCAAGGCTAAATAAGCCATATGAGTACTTAGCTAGCAAGCCTAAGTAGCACCCTGATAGGAAGTTCTGGCAGAGAGCTAATTAAATTAACCCTCTTTGATTTATTAACAAGCAGAGCAACATATCATACAGGATTGTCCCATGAAATGAATGTGTTTTCTGATTCCCTCGGCTACTTTGGTGCAGTCGCCTCCCAGAAAACCCAGTTATGGGGACTCAAGTTTAATGAGACTCAATGGCTCGGAAAGGATCCCTGCCCACCAGCAGAGATACGCACTGGTAGTAATACTCTAAAGCATGTTATTTTCCTTGTGCTTCCCTAATTCCCTTTTAATGCCTAGGACAACCTAATGGCTAATTAGTAATTTCCTGCCCACCGATATGCAGATGAATGACAAGCAAAAGCCTTCTGCATGTTTAATTATTCTGTTGATTTAGAAGCCACTTTTCCCTCAGTGCAAGTTTCTCTGTGTGTGTGTTCTCATGCATCATGTATTTCATTATTTTTAGAAGAATGCTCTGTGCCTTTTTATGCTGTCATAGTTCCAGCATCCAGTAATTACCATGCTTTGTGTCCAACAGACCTGATCCACCGACAAGTGTAAATCAGGAGAATATCACTGAATTTAAATGGAGTTATTCCAAGTTACACCGGACATGAGACCTGATGTCTCCTATTTTTAGTGGTGGGGGAAAATGTTATTTGTGTGCTGGGGCCCTTGTGAAGTAGCAGGATATAAAATTTAGAAAACTTCAGAGCAGTGAAAATCTAAATCAAAGCCCATAAATGCACAGACTTGAATCTATTTATATAACGAGCTCTACTTCTGCTTAACCCCTGGGAGGAACTGTAAGTCTTTTTGCATATTTGTTTTTTTCTCTCTCAGTAAAACATAGTCTACTCAGTGTATTTTTTCTACTTTCTAACAGTTTCACTGGTGGGCTTCTTCCCTATGCCTTGCATATAGCTTTGGTATCCAAGCATGCTTTTGTTAAATTAAGGCAATTAATAAATGGAGATGTTAAGCAATCACTTTTGCCTGCATATCTCCACAGCCTTACGTATGACTGGCTGTAATCACAAGATAAATGCAATGTGCTGATGTATGGTAATGTTCAATAACACATTCTCCACCAGGCTCAATTCATCAGGGAGTTTCTGGAGGGGAGGCATTCGTTATTGGCTGTCTCCGGACCTCAAGGATAACATTTCTGTCCTTTCCATTGGCCGCCCCGCTGCTGCAAGCCTCTTCCCATCTTATTTTGATGATGAATATGAAGGCATGCTAAGCCGTGCCGGAGCAGAGCTCTCAGCGACTGCACTCCCTCCCCGGGCTCAAGGACTCAGGGGCTCCCTCGCTGCTTCCCCCTGCCCACCGCCAGCAGCAGCAGCAGCAGCAACACCAAAAGTTGTGATGCTTTTCTTCACTCAGTGCTTTGGGGCTGTGTTAGATCTTATTCACCTGCGGTTCCAGCACTACAAGGCAAAGAGGGTTTTCTCAGCTGCCGGGCAACTTGTCTGCGTCGTCAACCCAACGCACAGCCTAAAGGTGAGTTAAAAATGCCTTTTTCTCTTCTGACATCTTCTCGTCCTCCCCACCCCCACAGGCGTTTCTCCGGAGGGAATGAAATGATGCTTTGGCATCAAGGGGAGAGGGCTGTTAACACATTGCAGCCCTGGCAGAGAGGATGTTTGCATTATCTGGCTGCAAGATTCCCTTTGGAGCGAAGGGGAAGCAACCCGCTGCTCCAAGCGATTGTGGGAAGTCGCTGCTCTCCCTCCCTGAAGTTTCCTCATCCCTTTCACCCATGTAATGACCATATGTGTTGCAAGCATCTGGAAAAAAATATTGGAAAAGTTAGTTGGATGTATTAATGTCCCTTTTTGGTGGAAGGATGCTGGACGCTCTCCCAGCCTGACAACCAGGCACGGTGGGATGCTGCCTGGCAGTGGGGAGCGGGGTGGGGGGGGGCGGGTATCAGCAGTGGTGTCCCTGGTTGCTGATCTTGTTTGCTTTTTGGGGGGAAAAAGCTGTTTCTGACTCCTGAGAGGAGCCTGAAGGCATTCCTCTGATGCTGAAAATGTCCTTAAGCCATTTGCAAGGTGAATCTATTTTAGGCGGGTGAATATATTTGCCTTAATGTAAAACTATTTATAGTCCCCATAAAACATTTCTCTTACTCTCACGGTTCTGGGTGTTCACTGACAAAGTGTCAACAGCTCCATCTATGCCAGAACCCTGATGTTTGTACGCAGAGAAGGAGCAGCAGGGGAGGAGAGCGACTGGGAGAATTTAATTATTTTATCACAGTGGTGAATGACCAACTTTAACAAAGTGACTCCTGTTTTGCTGCAAGTCCTTGTGGACCTGACTTGTGATGCCACTCTGTGAGCCCGACACAAGCTCAGAAATTAACTGAACTCAGGACAACTTATATTTGGCTCTGCTGGGGTCCCTGCAAGGAACTCGGAGGGGTTGCTGGAAGCATCTTTCGCCAGCTGCAGGCTGCCAGGAGGTTCTCTTCAGAACAACATCCCCCCCCCAAAAAAAAGACAGATTTCCCAGAGTTATATTTCCAGGCTCAGGCTGTGCTCAGGCATAGAGGGGTCATTTCTAGCAGGGTGCCAGCTCCAGGAGGGTTTCCCCGCAAGGCTGAGCTCAGCCTGCCAGCTGCCAGCCGGGGCAGGTGCTCCCAAGGGACAGGCTGCTCGGGTGCGAGCTCTCCTCTCCTGGCGTCTCACTCCTCCACTGACACAAGCTATTTAAAAATCCTGCAGCCCTGCTGTTATCTGAAAGCATCTGGTCATCCAAATAGATAAAAGAAATAGCACCATTCCTAAGTACATGGGGAGATTTTGTAAATGAATGCTTCTGTGCTCGACCCCTTTTATGTGACTGTCTCCTGCTGCTTTCATCTATAATTTTAATTATTAAAAATAAACCAAACTGAGCAGAAAAAAGGTTATTGAAGGTCACAATACAATTTCAGTGCCAGTGACACTGTCTGATGAGGTCCCATAAGCACACAGAGGGGTGTCTACTGTCTGCTCCGCTGGTATCTAGGACTAGACCTGAATTTATCAGTTCAGGTCCTCTGGAGTTGCAAATTTGCTGTTGTAGGAACTGCAACATTTTATCTTTGAGCACACCCAAAAAAAGTTGATGCTTCTGTTCCTCTCTGTTCAACACATAGGGCATTTCAGTTTACTAAAATCCCCAATGGCCAGGCTCTTCACTGCTTAGACCCAAAGCCCAGAAGGATGAGAGATGAGCAGTCACGGTACTGTCTTGGTAGCTCTTGAAAGTAGGCACTGGATGCAAAACTCTCTTGGAAACAAATGGGAGCCTCTAGGAAAAGTTGTGATGTGTCAGTGAAGCCCCAGGGAGAATCATCTTGACATGGGTATCATCTTCCTGGGAATTGCTCCAGCAGCAGGGTTGCAGTGGGAACCCAATTGCCCTTGTTTGCCATACGGGCCTGCTGTGACACGGGGTAGATGGGACAAGCTGACAAGAAACTTCCCCACTCTGGAAAAACCCCTCTGATTGTAAAGACGTTCAGGTCTCAAAGTTTCCCACCAGCTCTGTAAGGAATGCACCACTGCTTTGTGCCAGCACCCAGCAGACGGGTGGGTAGGACACCAGGGTGCCCAGGATGGCACTGCCGGCACCCACCCTCTGGCACCATCCAGCGGTAAGAGCCCGCGGGCCATCAACTGTCTCCGAGCCCGACACCTCACCCCACCTGCTCTTACCTGGTAGCGGAGAGGTGGTCACCTTCAGCCAGCAAGGCACCTTGTCCAAAAACTGGTCTCAAAGACAAGCCAGAATAACTTGCTTCTCGGGGTGCCCGTTTTTCCCCTGGGGATGCACAGGGAGATTGTGGTTGCTCCCTCCAGCAACCTGGTACAGAGACATCTGAAGCTGGGACAAGGAAATCCTCCCCAAACTGTCCTGTATGCCAAATGACACCCAGGGGGCCATTAAAAATTAAAGGGCTAAACGTGTTTCTCTGTGGTGGTTTGCAGTATTATGACTACTTTGATGTTTCATAGTCTATTGTTTCTGTCTGGGTCATTTCAACTGTAACATTTTGTTGACAGCCCCCAAATCTGTCTTAACAATTGACAAGTGGAGTGAAAACTGTATTAAGGTTCGCGGTCGATGAATACAAGTCTGCTAGGAAACAAGGGCTAGGAGCAATGCCATTTCTCTCCCTTCCCTTCAAGGCTTAAGTGTCTGTGCTAACTCCAAAATTGTAAGCTCTTTGCAAAGGGATTATTTTATTCTGTATCTCCACAGCATCCAGGCGAGAGGGCTCCTGGCTGACTGGTGCAAGTGATAAATGACAGGCATCATATTCTGGTGTGATTACGCATGTTGACATCCCTCACATAGGTCAGGTCCTCAATCAGTGCCAACACGTATAACTCCATTAAAGTGAAATTGCAGCAGGACCTCTATTCTCTCTCCTTCCATCCAGGGGAGTGCTCAGGGATGGTGGTGGGATCCAGCCCACCACCAGGACCCATGGCTGGTGATCACATATGTGTGTCAGAGATTTCACTTCACATAAAGCACTTGGTGAATGGTAGAGGGCAGGGGAGCACAGGTACCCTCCAGGGAATGGTTGCACCAGCTTCTGCTATCACAGACCCATAACTAGACCAAGGGGGACATTCAGTAGAGTTATGTCAGCACACTGTCAACTGCAATCACAGCCCAGACCTCTGACCAAGACCAGATCCCATCACTTACCTCTTCCTTTAAGAGACGTCCAGAGATTGGCAGAGAAGCACACACTTAGAAAGAAATCTGTGTCTTTCTTCCCACTGAAAGGCTCATTAACTGAGAAGGCTGATGAGCGATTCAGTGTACCTTAAAGGAGAAGATGGTAAAAGTGTCAGCAGACACCTCTATTGATTTGCTGCTATTTTCCCTATGCACAAAAGGCTGGCACAGGCAGCTCTAAACAGGGTAAGGCAATTTTGCAGCTGTCCCACTCCATTTCACCTGTTTGGCAGGGCTATGAATAGGGTAGGGGTTTTGTTTCGGACCCTCTTTGTCCTTGTTGCTGCTTTCTGCTCTTTGTCCTCCCATGAGCTTTCCCAGGCATTGCAGCAGCACCTTACAACGCAGTGCTATGCTGGGATCAAAATTCTCTTGCCAAGCAGAGAAAACCACATATTTAACGCACTTCTATAGGTCACCTTCTTTCTTGATTGTATTATATCCATTACCTTGTAACCTGCCTTCCTTCAAGTGTACAGTCACCCTGACGTCTCCCCTTGAAGGGACACGGCCAGGCAAAGGAGCTCCCCAGCCAAGTGGCTGCTCCCTCCAAAGCCATATTAATTAGAGGAGCACTGCTCATGCTGCTGGCTGCAGACCCCAGTGTGCAGGGAAAGTTTTAAGGTGCTCCGTGTGCGTGAAAGAAATTAGCAGGATTTGCTGGTCCCTGCGGAGATGAAGTTCAGTGAATTCCTCTGCATTTCCCCCTGTTAATAGCAATTGTCCCCAGCAGTGCTAATTACACCTTGGGGAGGAGGTGAAAGTGGGCAGCTGTGTCCTTGCTCCTTAGCTGGCATTGTTCCCTGCCCGAAAAACCAGCGACACGCAGCAGGGAACTGCAATGCAATCACAGCCCAGCCAGGCACCAAGGTGCTGTGTACAGCGGGCTAAAACAATCTTCATTCAAGGAGTTACTAGCTTTTTACAAGTGTCTTTAACTCTTTGGAGACTGTGAAAACTGTTCTTGTAAAGAGTAAAAGTTTGTTTACAATGTTGTTGTAAAAACCACCGCTTCTGTCTCTGTGGGACTTCAAGGAACTCGTTGAATTGCAAAAAGCAGCATATTTAAAGAAGGGCATAAGTAGTTCAATCTTTTATTCAAAAAGGGTTGTAGCATAGTTTATGGGGCCAAGCTGTCTTCTAGCCATTTTTTAAAGCAACAAGCAAATCTGCTCTCAGTTAGGGAAGGGATTTGAATCCTGTTATGACAGTTCGGCTCTGTGCGCAGTGGCCAGCCAAATAGCATTGTAATCCATTTTATCCCCAGCAGGATTAAAGTGCTACGGTGCATTATAGCCCCACAAGATTTATTTATTTATTTGGTGCAAGGGAGAAGAGATACTCTGAAATCTGCTGCTAACAACCCCCAGACAACCTCCGCCACCATCTCAGCCCAGACACCCTCAAATCTCCTGTGCAGGGCTGTGATTTGGGGAGCCCAAGTGGTGTTTGGCCCCAGTGCCCAGCACTATCATGACAGCCACTGCGAGAGGGGCTGCAAAACCCCCTGCTTCCTGCAAACCCAGGATCCTGGCAAGGTGCTTGGATCCCATCCCAGCTGTGAGCCAGGGCTGCCTGAACACTGGGCACCACAGGCTTTCAAATCCTTTTGTAGGGATGCAGATCGCAGCAAGTAGCACTGCTTTGCTGCCCCTCCTTTAGCCCTGCCTCTGCTTGAAGGGCTTTCAAAGGGCAAAACTGGAAACCAAGTTGACTGTGAGCACCCGCACCCCAGGAGTCTCCATCCATGCATCCACAGCTGCCTGCAGATGTGACCATAACGGTGTCCCATGGAGGAGAGGCAGAGCATGCTCCAGCAGCTCTCCCCAGGGGCTCTCCATCTGCCAATGCCAATGCCTGGTCCTGGGAGCTCCCCTCTCCCGTAACCCATTCACCTTGATCCCACAGACCCACAGACCCAAACACCCTATGGGACCATAGCACGGGACTGCACAGGCTTCACTCCAAGCATGCTGCAAAGCAGGGCAGCTCCGAGCTTCATCATGATCTCCTAGAACAACAGTTACGGTGTCTCCTTGGCAGAGGGAGAGGGAGGGGAGAAGCCGCCGTCTCAGAAGTTTCTGTTAGCATGCTCCTGCTTCCTTCTCCCCACTTCCCACCCCAAATCCACTGTGGAAAATTAATTACCAGTGTTAACTGACACTGCCTGTCATGCTACATCTCCGGAGGTGGGATAGAGTGGGTAAGCACTGAGTCCTTTCCTACCCACATTTTATTCTGAACATGAATTTCAATAATAAACCCAATCTGTTCGCAGGACATTTCAAATAAGATGTTATCAATGGAAGACAGTACTGTTATTATAATATTAGAGAAATCCCTCTCCCCTTGACAGGGCGTTTGACAGTAGTGTGAGGAGTAGCCATCAGATACTACCACATATCACCATCTGATCCACTCACTCTGGTAGAGCTCAGTATATCAAGAATGTCTCAGTGCAGCTCTTTGGGTTAGACATAATGGCCCAGATACCTCCCTCTGGAGAAATATTGCCCCAAAGCAATTGCTGTGGATAGCACAGGGGGTGTGGAGGAAAGAGGGATGTTTTAATATAAGCCATGATTACATGAAATGAGTAGTGAGGTCTCAGTCTGCTTCGCAGCAGATGTAAGTCATCCCCAGACATTCCCACAACTGGTGTTAATTAGCACACATCGCTGGTTGCCTCAGTAGAGAAGCCGAGCACTGAATACAGTCCTGCAAGCCTCAGATATTAAAAAGTCCCAGGTCAGGTTCTCAAACATTGTGAATTTTGCCTCAAAGTCAGAATTTACAGAGCATATAAAGTCTCGTTTAACCCTTAAGATTCTCTCCCGGTATCAAAGACCTCCCAGCACCTAGCAAAGGGCACTTAGAAAATTCCCTTTTGTTTCTCAGACACAATCTGAGGTTCTTAAGTCATCCAAGAAACCAAGTTTAAAGGAAGCACAACAGATTCCAAGAGCTCCAGTAAAGTAAGGGAAAGGAGCTGCTGTGGCTGTGCCCTGTGTCCCCGGGGCTTTGGCGTTTCCTTTGCCATAGAAATCCCAGAATCCTTGTCCTGCCTGGCTCAGTGCTGAGATTTTGGGTTCCTCCTGGCACCCCCAAAGCCATCCTGTCACAATGGGCAATCAGCATCTCTCAATCAGGTGCAGAAAAGGGAAAAGCTGTGTATCCTGCAACAATTTCATAGCGTGCCAGGGGGACAACAGTCTTCACCCAGCTTTACTGGGGACTAAGTGAGGTGGTGAGGAGCATGGGAGGACACAGCCATGCTTTTCTGGATGCATGAGTCTGGGGTGGTGAGGGCTGTTGCTCTCCTGAGGTGGTGGGAGCAATGACCATGGGAGCGGTGACCATGGTGGGCTGCCCTCGGCACCTCTTGGTGGCATTGGCACTCGCATACATGGCACAGCACGGCACCACACAGTGCAGAGCCCTGCTCCTCCTCCAAGTCACTGGAGGTGGGTGCCAGGAGGCACATGCACCACCAAAAAGGAGAGAATTCCTTTGGAGAGCTGAGGAAGATGTAGGTAATACACTGGACTTGCTTTTGGTGTGATTTTTTGTAACAGAGGTGAGCAGAGCTGAGACACAATGTTCAGCCCATCTGGGTCCAGCTTCTGATGGAGCTGGGGAGACCCTGGGCCTGAACTCTCCGCTTGGGTCTGGCTGAACATGGCAGAAACTTCCCAGTCCCCCTGTGTATGCACATGCTGTATTTGGAAATGGAAAGCATGGATGCTGAGACATTGAACACCTTATTAGACTGTGTTATTCTTCTTTCTTTTCATAGCTTGTCTCTCTTTGTTAAGTACCTTTTCTTCTGTGCTATTCTGCCCATTCCCTGCTCTACCAAAGTCTTAAAGCCAAAGATTCTCGTCTGTTGTTCAATAACCTAATTTGGGGCTTTTTTTACTCCCACTGAAAGGAAAGCATCACTAACTTCACTGCAACTTTGGATGTCTTGTTTTCCTCTAAGATCTTCCAGAAGAAATCACAACCATTCAATCCTCAGCTCGTTTGGTGCCACTTATTTCCCTATTGACAGATGAAGTCCCGCTTTAAAACAGTTGCCAGCAAGATGAGAAGAGCTACAAAAAGCAGCGAAGTGTTGCTGTCACCACTTGCTAATGCAACTGGCGAGGAAGCCAAGTGTCTCGCTGTCCTGGTTTCAGCTGGGACAGAGTTAACATTCTTCATAGTAGCTACTAAAAGGCTACTTTTTGGATTTGCGCTAGTGTTTATGGTTGTTACCAGGACAGTCAAAGACTTTTCAGCTTCGTGCTTTGCCAGTGTCTGGAGGCGCAGGAGGATTTGCCCCAATTACTGGCTTAGGATTCAGACTGGAAAACCTCATTGACATCATGCACTGGATCGGGGCTTGAGCAGGCATGTCCGGCTGGAGGTGCCACCGGTACGTGTTGTCCACCCAGCACAGTGGGCCATGATCATGATCCATTTACTGGTGCTGGCAAAAGAGAATTATCTTCCCTTTGCTTCGGTATGGTGGTGCAAATCCACTTTCAGCAGGGATTTAAGCTGGTGATCTGGCATGCGCATTGCCAAAGTAGGCATGTGTTCCTTCTTCTTCCCTTGCTGCAGGAGCATCTGGGAGGGCAGTGGCCTCAGCTGTTTTTCACAACCTTCCACAAAGGACTTACCCCTAGGGATTATTGAGGGCTGTGCTGAATGGCAAAACTTCAGTGGTGCATGGAGATCTCCTGAAAATTGCTCTGGGTGACCTGCTGCTAACAGCAACCTGCAGTACTTCTGCTCAGCACTCTCACAGCATTCTCCAAAGAGGAAAGACCATGGTGGCACTGCCAATGAATTGCCTGACAGATACGCAGTGTAAAATTTGAAGCACTTTTATTTATTTAGAGACATTTCTGAGCATCTTGTATAACATTAATGGATTTATCTTTAACTCTTCTCTTTAGTCTCATGAACAACATGAAAGGGTCACTGGGGGAGAATGGCAGAGACCTCCAAGTTCTTGGTGTGTTTATTTTGGTGTACTTTATTTAAAAGGTAGAAAAGTTTGAAACTACTTTAGAAAGGAATTAACTAGTTGTTTCCATACTAGATGTAGTGCTTTAAGTTTTAGTCTTTTCTTCTGGAGCAATTTAGTTGAGCACTGATCCAAACCGAAATCCCTTTTCCTTCTGGATTGGCCTCCCCAGTAAAAAAGAAATAATCTGCACATCTTTAGTGATGTTACTGGTAATTTACACATGGAAATATTAATCTCCAGAGTGGTTGGCAAATTGCCCATCAGCCCTGGGCAATGCATGGTCTCTTCTGGAGAAGAGACTTAAGTCCTTGTGAATATCTTAAACACAAGATCACACACTGTCTCACATCAAGTGCCAGCTGAAATTGAAAGAGAAGCAGAGAAATGGAGCATAAATGAGACAGAAAAATATTAAATCAAGAACATCCCCTTGTGCAGAAAACAAACTCTATAGATGAGCAAGGAGGCAGCTGCTACAGAGCAGAAAACCACATCAGCAGAGGATGAAAATATTCTTCCACTCTTAGGGACTGTCACGTGGAAAATAAGCAAAGTAATAAGTGTGAAAATGGAGTAAATAACCACCACATAAAGATTACATAGGCCATCTGGGGTAAGGGGACGGTTAAGTTCACCTTCAGGCTTTGCAGGAATGAGAGGCTGAAATGGAAATGTCAGGATGTTGGCAAGTGCAGTGATCACAATAATGCCTTAAACTCAGCAAAACCACTCAGGGGTTCAGTGTCAAGCATGTGCACAGATTCAAAAATATGTATATTTTGTAGGATCACACTCTTGTTCAGACATACTTGTTCTAAAAATTACCGAACTTGAGACAGCAAAAGACCATACGAGAAACCTTCTGGAGTCCAGTAACTTATGCAGCTCTTTCGAAGAGTGCAGGGTAGATCACAGACATCTTCCTCTTTAGTAGGGAAGTGCAGCCTGGATGTCTCACTGCTGCATTGTAACGTCTGCTCAGATGAGGATGCCTAGTTGCACGTAGGGACGTGTTATCTCTGCTGGTTGGACCCCCATGGTATGAAAGGCACATTACAGACCAGTGAGGCCAGGCTTTGTTTGTGGGGAAGTGCTGCAAGTTTCCTACTTGTACTACCTGAGAGCTGAGGACATCTCTGAGATGCAACATCTTTTGGAGTT